TAGGTAAATCCCAGTGATAATATCACTGAGATATGACATGTATTGAAAGTTTTTGGCGTGTGTCAATTTGAATATGGATTCCTAAAAACCAGTAGAAGGCGTACATCAACAGTTATTTCACTCCGTCTGATTTCAGTCTTTACAATATTGTGGAGTGTTTAGAATAAAGCAGAACTTAGGAAGATGTTAAAAACTATCTGTTTAACTCTGTCTGATCTCCCTGAATCTATTGATAATTGCTTGTGTGCTGAAACTTTTCTCATATATTAGACCATCCGCCTGATATTCCTCCTGTGTTTGGCTACCATCATATATGTAATAACAACAGCGACAACTTTTGTTTTTACGATTCCAGTTATTTGTGCATTTGTGAAAAAAACTCCAACCGAGCTGAATGCTTCGGTTACAATCCACTTCTTGATCGTTGTGACTCGTGTCTATCCGGTGGGAAATGTATACGGGGACATCTGCCAGATGCAGACGATTTCATCTGCCTGTGCCCTCATTGCTATCAAGGCGCACAATGTGAACTTAGCATGCAAGCGTTTGGCTTCACGCTAGATTCCCTGTTAGTTTCTGTTTCCAGTCGAATTCAAGTCATCTATATCGCCTTGGCTTCTGTACTCTTTTTACTTGGCCTCTTTTGCAATTTGTGTTCTCTGCTGACATTTAGACGAGCTCAACCGCGAAAAGGCGCCGTCGGCCAGTATCTTCTCATTGTTTCTATCTTTAATCAACTCTCTTTGCTCTGCCTACTCTTCAAATTCATCCATATCCTTGCAAGCACATTTGGCATATCGAATGATGTCTCATGCAAGAGCATCAGTTATCTCCTGTCCATTTTCACTCGCTCCGTATATTGGTTGACAAGCTGGATCACTGTTAATCGCCTTCTCATTGGAATGTCTCCGATAAAATCGGTTCTGAATAATCCTCGCATTGCTCTTGTTTGCAGCATCATTACATTTCTTGTCCTTTGCAGCATGCATATTCATGAAATTATTTTCTACACAACTATTCGTCAGCCCCGGTCTGTAACCCTTCTATGTGTGACCGATTTTCATCGGAGTATGGTGGCCAAGTATGATCGAATCAGCTCCCTTTTCCACTATGTCGCTCCTTTTGCCATTCAGGTCAGCGCGATTACCTTTCTTATAATACGACTAGCTCGCAATAGAATGAAGACGACTCAAGGGAATGTTACTTTAAAACAACTCTTAAGAAAGGAATTCTCTATACAAAAAGATCTTTATATAATGCCGTTTATTATTGTTTTGTCCGCCATACCTGGAGCCATTCTGTCATTTACCTTTGCTTGCACTACCATCAGCGAATGGAAACATCATGCATTAGTTGTTGCCTTTCTTCTATCCTATGCGCCACAAGTACTAGGATTTGTTCTCTATGTTCTGCCGTCGAGTGCATACAAAAAAGAATTCCGCGATACAGTGCTTGGAAAGAAACTATTTCAATTACTGACAAAACAATAACAGAAAGATATAAAAGAAGCAACAACGATGATCGTTACAGCGATCAAATCAACATGAATGAGACACTTACATTATGAAATATATTTGTTGCTTTTGATGTTGTTCATTAAATATTCAGTAATAAATTGTCGAAGTAGTTGCTTGCTTTTAAGTCAACATTTCGTTGGTTAGTCGTAGAATAGGGTGTGAGTGTGAGTAGGTGTGTGTATTGGTGTGGGTGTGGGTGATTAACTTGTTATTCGCATCCACACTCATACCCGCACCCGACAAACTATTGGTAGAACAAGTAAAATGATTGTAATAGGTAACACATATTTCCCGTTCGTTTATACTCTGACAAAAACTCGATGCATTTTTATTACTACTTCAAATGGCAATATGTTTTCGATTCCTTATACCACTGTAAAAAACAGAAGTGAATTTAATGCGCAGTGAAAATTCTTTTTTTTTGATTATTTTTGTGTAAAACGAGATCTTGTTTCCTTTCTCATAATTGTGTATTGATTATGAAGAAAAAATAATTATATTGAAATCATTTTTTTTGTAATATGATCTCTATAATGAACTTGTGTTTTTTTCTTTATCAAATTGATTTATCTATAATGAAAAACATGTCTTTTTTTGTTTGTCATATCTTCAAAAAAAAGAGGAAAGAAATGAACATGTTTATAATTATTAACTGAACGATGTAGAATACTAAGCAAACTCAATATTTTGTTTTTCTTCACTTCGCATTCATTCAAAGAATTTAAATCTTTCAAAGTATGGTACCAAATACTCTAGCATTTTGGTCATATCTTATTTTTCTTATTCCATCTATAATTTGTTCATTATTTGTTCTTTATCATCTTCTTTTTGATCGAATATTACGTCATGCTCTTCATAATCATGTTATTATTGTAGTTCTTTTCATTGTTATAATTTACGAGATAACAGTTTATCCATGGATGTTATATTATTATCAATATCAAAATATATCAGGAATACCCAACATATTTTGTACAATTCGAACATTTCTTGATTGGAATCTTTGTATTACACAAACAATTCTTATTTCTTGGGCAACAATTGAACGACATATTTTAATCTTTCATGATAAATGGGTATCTACAAAAAAGAAACGTTTTTTTATTCATTATCTTCCACTTATTGCACTCGTTCTCTACTGTTTCATCTTCTATATGATTGTTTATTTTTTCCCACCATGTGAAAATTTATTTGATCATTCTTCTCTAACATGTGTTTACTCTTGTTTATATGATATATATGCATTTGCTATATGGCAAACGGTTGCTCATCAAATTTTACCAGTTTTAATAATTATTGTATTCAGTACTGCTTTACTTCTACGTGTTATTTGGCAAAAATTTCGAATACATCAATCAATTCAATGGCGAAAATATCGAAAAATGACAATTCAATTATTATCAGTTTCATTTCTTTATCTGATATTTTATTTACCATTATCTGTAGCCCATACTATTCTTCTATGGAATTTAATGGATGATATCTACTTTGAATTTCAAGACTATGCAATATATTTCAGCTATTTTGTAATACCTTTATTTCCTTTTGTTTGTATTTTATCATTACCTGAACTTCGAACAAAACTCATTAATACTTTACATTTACAACGAAGACGTATTGCACCTGAAATAATACTTATAAAAGCCCCTGTATACAAACATATGAATATTTAATAATCATATTTATCTATTGTCTTTGTATTTGTAATATATAGGAAAATTCTATTAGGTGTATCGATAGTTGGTTTGATGATTGGGATGAAAAAAACATGCCAATTAATAATCAGGAACAACCCAATGCAACAGGATATAGTTTTCCTCAGAGTAATAACTCGAACTATAAATATTCTTAAAACAACGTCAACTTTTTTTCTTCACCGCCATATTTATTAAAATAAACGAATAACTTTTAAAACAAAAATACTGCAATAGTAAAAGGACAAAAAGCATAATATGTACGTAGATCTTATTTTTCAAACAAGTAGTAATGATTAGCAAGAGAAAAAAGCTGCTGTATTCAATTATTTCATATGATATTAAATAAAGTAATCATTGTATTAATAACATGTTCAATTTTTATATAAGTACACATGGTTTTTGTGCAGCATGTGGATTTGGATTTTTACCGAAGCCGTGTACAAGTACATCTTTATGTTCGTGATTTTGACAGTATTGAATTAAGTCTTTGCATGCTACCGATACTTTAATTCGATTAATATCAGCTTCAGTTCGTAATTGTCGAACAATTTTTTCCATATTACTCATAATCGAGATGTTCTTTCTAGAAACAAAAAAAAACTTCGCATATAAATATAGCATTAAAATACAGAAGTTATTAAGAGACATAGTCGCTGATATTTTCATCAAAATTTCTGGAATACACTCGGGAATCGGTATTTTTATAAGACTAGACTTGAGCCGATCATTTTCAACATAACAATGCAAAAATTCTTCCAATAATACTTACAAATATATATATCACAAAGTAAATAATGCGCAAATGAAGATCTAAAATTGTTAAATAAAAAGTATATAAAAATAAGCTCAGATTTCTATTATTATTATATATCTATGACATACTCTCTCTTTTTCTTCTATGTGCATTGATAATAATTATCTCTCTCTATCTTTTGGTTCAATATAAGAGAATACACGTACTAATATTCATGATTGTTTCCTAAAAAAATGTCATGCTCTCACATCTCTAAACTTAAATAAATATCAACAGACAAATATTTAATAATAACCAATGATTTTTCAATGTATTCGTGCTTATCTTGTGTTTGGCATTAGAACACTAACAGAAAATAATAATAATAAAAAACCTGTTTTTTTATCCTGGAATTGATTTGAATCAATGTGTGTTGTATGATCTAGGTTCTTTTTAGTTGGTGTTTTTTTGACGATTGAAGAATATAAATCTTGCAATTTCTGTACTTTCACAACGATTCATTTAGTTCAGCTAAATTTTTGAATTTTGTTTTTTAATTGAATGTTATTTCATACCTTTCATTTCTTTTCTTTAAATACAAAAGAGTTTAATTTTTTACTTCTGTTAATACTATTGTCAATTGTTTTTATCTTCTTCGTCATCATTTTTCTTTGTTTATGTTCCGTTAAATGTGTAAGCCACCAGGATAATCGACGGTAGCCCCAACTTAGAATTTTTTTTCTAAATGTTCGGCGACATAGCTTTGATAAATATGTTTAGAAACTTTATCTTACATCTCAATATAATAAAATACATGACTAACATTAGACTGAATAATAAATAAAAATATAGAAGTTTATCAAAAAGTTAATAAGTAAAATATTCAAGCGTACACAACTCTGTTGCTTTTTTGTTTTGTTTCTCTTAATCAAAATATAAAATACTCGTCTCTTGTTATATATATATAAGAGTACACATAAACAAATAAAACGAATCGTTTCAAAGGATTACATAAAAAATTTAATCTGTGAATTAAAGAAAATATAAATAACAAGATCAATATTTATGATACGTGTCAGCTGCATGACTTACAACTCTAGTCACAAGAATATGTTATTTTTTCTGTATTACATTTAAAATATTGTGTTTTTTTGTTTACCATTGCCATGTGTTTGAACAGAAGTTTATTGAAGACATGAATATCTCCTTATCTAATTTTTCAAACAAATAGAAATGATTAACAAGAGAATAAAGTTGCTGTACTCAATTTTTTTATATGATATTAAAAAAAGTAATCAGAAACAAGTATACGTATAATAAACACTAGATAATTAATTTGGCGGATTTTCACATAAGAACATAGAGCCTTTTCTAAAAAAAAATGGATTTGGACTTTTGTCGAAGCCATGTATAAGTACATCTTTATGTTCATGTTTTAGACAGTATTGAATTAAATCTTTGCATGCTACCGATACTTTAATTCGTTTAATATTAGCTTCAGTTCGTAATTGTTCAACAATTTTTTCCATATCACTCATAATTGATATGTTCTGTCTAAAAACAAAAAAAAAATTCGCATTCAAATGTAACATTAAAATATATAAGTTATTAAGAGACACAGTCGCTAATATTTTCATCAAAATATCTGAAATACACTCGGGAACCGTTTCTCATAAGACTAGACTTGAGCCAATCTAGTTCTAGTCAACAATATTGTTCTCGTCTATTTTCGACATAACAATGCAAAAATGCTACGAATAATACTTACATATATATATCACAAAGTAAATAATGCTCAAATGAAGATCTAAAATTGTTAAATAAAAAGTATATAAAAATGAGCTCAAATTTCTACGATTATATATATGTCTATCTCATACTCTCTTTTTTTCTTCTATGTTCATTGATAATAATTATCTCTCTCTCCTAGTTCAACATAAGAGAATACACGTACCAATATTTTTTCTTATTGCTATAGGCATAATCAAAAAAAATGTCATGCTCTCATGTCTCTAAACTTACATAAATATCAATAGACAAATATTTAATAATAATCAATGATTATTCATTGTATTCGTGCTTATCTTCTGTTTGGCATTAGAACACTAAGAGAAAATAATAATATTACGTACTTTTGTTTTATCTGAGAATTGATTTGAATCAATCTGCGTTGTTTTATTTGTGTACAATCAAATCAAGTTGTCAATACACAGTTTATCATGTTATATTGATTGTATGATCTAGGTTGTTTTTGATGATCGAAGAATGTAAATCTTGGATTTCCTGCATGTTAACAACGATTTATTTACTTCAGCTAAATTTTTTAGTTTTGTTATGAAAAAGAGACGATCTGATTTGCATTATTTCTTGGAATATTTAAACAAATAAATATATCGATCTTGAGAGTATATTTTCATTCCTATACTTTAAAAGAATGATTTAGAATTTGGAATTTTGTCAATCTTTGTAAAACATGAATATTAGTTGATCTTATTTGCAATTAGAATATTTTTGTAGAGGTTCAAAGCCATATTGTCATCTGACAGATTTTTGATGAATTTTAATCTTTCATCACGTAAACGATTTTCATGCTAAGATTATCTTTTAGAATGTGGGTGCTAGGTTAAGACAGTGTCCATATCACCCACACCCACACCCTCAATGGCATCTAAATGCAAACAGCGGACAAACGATTCTTGCAAATGCAAGCAATCAGTTCACTGGTATAGCACGTGATGATGAAGGATCACTATATACATCTGATTGGAACAGTGATAAAGTGCAAAAATGGCCAAAAGGTAAAACTAAAGAACAAATTCTTGTATCTAAATTGAATAACCCCGAGCGAATATGTATTGTTGGAAATCATTCACTCTACGTGGCTGACACCGTGAATCATAGAGTGATGAAGATAGTTTTAGGAACAAAACAAACCTGGTTAGCAGCTGGTGGATCTTTGGGTGCAGACGCGAATCAATTGAATTCTCCGCGTGGTGTAACTGTCGACCAATCTGACAATGTTTATGTCGCTGATAGCCTCAATCATCGAATAGTACGCTGGCTCGTAGGCGCTACAATAGGTACTGTAATTGCTGGAGACCGCGGTAAGGGTTCCAAATCATATCAACTCAACACCCCTCGTGATCTACAATTCGATCAAGATGGGAATCTTTACGTTGCCGATACACTTAACCATCGTGTACAAAAATTTATCATCGACAAAAGTGCATGTTAATATATCTAAGTTTGGTGACATCATCTATGTTTTCATTACTCTTTTTCTTATTAATTAAAACAAGATAACTATCAAATCATACTGCATACTACGTATACATCGATGTGATAATAAAAATATATTGTTTATATTTGTTGTTCAGCTTAAAATAAATTTGTAAACATAAATCGATTAATAAATTGCTTGAATTATAAGACAATGAATCAAGAGTGTAAATATGGGTGACAACAAAGAATGAATTAATACTCATATGCATATGATGACTTAAATTCATACCTAATTATTTGTTCTAATCATATTTCTTTTTCTAACGATGAATACTATTCAAGTACGAAAGAATTAAAGTGTGATTATTGAGAGGGTATGGGTGAGAGTAATGGTTAAGATTACACCCACATCTGCATCCACCTACTCACACCCACACCCTTAGTTTCTTTTTTTAATTTTTGCACAAAAGCTGAATAAAATATGAAGAAATATATCGAAATTCAAATATAATGGTAAGTCAATTTTATTAACCATTGTGTACTTTCTCTCCCATATAATAGGTGTCCCATGAATCTTTAGCATAACCATTGCCTAATACTTTAAATGATGAAGCTGATGCACCTTGTACCTTTT